GGGGTCCCCGAAATAACCGTCCTGGATAAACCTCCAGGTGGAGGCAAACCCTTAGGGGCTGGTTGAGTTACAAGAGGAACGCTTTAATGTGAAATGAGGGAAACCTCATCGCCGAGAAGAGTCCTTTGCGGCCTGGGGGTCTGTGCCCTTTATGGTTCAGGTCTATGGAAGAAACCGGCGTAAGTAGTTGTTCTTATCTTTCCACACTGGAACGTGCCCTTGTGTCCTGCTGGTGGAGAGATGCTTGTGGGGGTGGGCGTTGCATAGTTGCAATTGCAAAGCAAGGAGTGGGAAGAGGCAAAAATCAAGAGTATTCCGGCAGTGTATGTATTTTCTGAAATATATAGGCTATCTGGTCATATTAATTACTACGTGGGTTGGGGTTTTTTTGAGCATTTATCATTTGACTTCTTTTTGTGTGCATGTGTAACGATGTGAAACCATGAGTTTTTGCTTGAAATGTGACACTGTTGTCTTAGTTCACAAAATAATTTTGCTTTAATCACATTTAATCGTATTAAACTTAATTGTCTATTTAAATTGCAACAGTCCTTTCTTGGATGTAGTTATATACTACGTAGAATGTAGTTGTGTGGTACACAGAATGTAGTTACACAGTTTACATATATACTTACTGTCTTAGAACTCCAAGTATTTTACTCTTGCTTCCTGTTAATTTAATGAAAAAACTAGGGACTACACAATATAAATTGGTGGTAGAAGATAACAAATCAACTTTTACATTCTACTTTAAAACATTCACGTTTTACATTTAAAACCTTTAAAATTCTTTAAAACAGCTTCCTGCAGGATGACAGGACTTGAAGAATGCAGTCTTGAACTTCTACTGTTTTCCCTCCAATAATACATCAAGTAACAGTATCTACTACTTGAAAACTTTGACCAAGAATCGATTAGTAGTTGTTATGCAGAGTGTTTTTAGCAGGCAATGGGAGGAGGAGGGACAGGCCTATGCTGTAGTTTCAGGCTGACAGTGCTGCATGTCTCAAATAAAGGAAGTAGGACAGGCACCAGCGAGGGTTTAAGGGAAGAAATGGGAATGTCTGAGGAGTAATCAATGTTACCACCACCAGTGCAAAGCTTAGGATCTGGTGATATCAAAGGATTGAAAATAAAACTTGAAGTTAGCATAATCTACAAGATTTTTTTTTTTTGAAAGATCTGGGATTTGTTCTAAATTTTATTACCAAGCTGGAAGTGTGTGTCTGGCCTAATTGAAAGTGAGGAGCTGTTTATATCCTTAGATTCAGTCAGGAGGAATTAGAAAGCTAATGAGAGAACTTCTAAACTCTCTGGCACGTTTTTATACTTTTCATGTTTTTTGAAGCTTATTTCTGGAAATTTGAATGTGATGAGAACTTAATGGATTTGTTTCTTTAGTGGGAGGGAAGATATTAACTCAGGTTTTCATAAGATATTAACTCAGGTTTTTCATAAATGTGCATATATATACACCATTTATCCATTGTTTTTTTTTTTTACAGTTTTCTGATTGTTTGGCATTCCCAACTATTTTGCTAGGCCAGCCCCTCTTTCTGCAAGTCTAGAAGGAGTACAGATTATTTTTTGTGGGCTGAATTTTTTGATGCCTGCCTTGGATGCAGTAGTGGCTTGGGATGGACATGCCATGTTTACTTGGCAAAACAGATGTGAGCACTAGACTTCTTTACTTTGGTGCTTGCTGTCCACAGGAGCAGCTACTGACAGGGATCTGTTGCCATGATATATCTGTAGTGCAAGACATTCATCTAGAGGTAGCAAGAATTTCATATGAACACTTCCAAGCTGCATGGATGTCCTAGAATCCCAGTGTTCTCTCACAGGTGTAGGGCACTTTTATTCCTCATTTCCCAGTAAAGGAACATACAACACGGTTGTGTGTTGTGTAAATCTTTAAAACAGCCCTTTAGAAAGTAGCAGTGATGATGCCCAAGTGACGGGCTAGGCCACTGTGGCTTTTAAATGGGGATGCTGTCAAAATCGCCAGCTTTTCTTGTTTGACCAATGTACTGCAACAGTAACAGAAGACTTCTACAGAGGAGTCCTTTTCAGAATAGTTTTGTTTACTTTTTAAAATAATTTAGAGTAGGTGTTCTGATTTTATACTGAACAATTTGTATAGTAGTTGGTACAGTGTTTTCTTGCATCTGAATTTCTAACTGTATTTCAGATGTGCTTTATACTTCTTTCCTTCACTAAAAAGGACATTCACTCTTGAAATAGTCAGTTACAAAATTTGCCTGAGTCTTGTAATTTTCCCCTGTTATTATTGTTGTATTTTTTCTGTATATATTGGCATACTCAGGTATGAGGAGATAGATTGTGTACAAGTGAAAAAGAAAGTAGCTAGATATGCATTTCTGTCAAAAACATAGTTTTTAATCTTGCCCATATCCTGCACGCTGCTGCCAAATAAAAGGCCTCTTAACAAGCATGGAGCTTGTTAATTAATGTTTTCCAGTCCTTTCTTTAAACTCGGGCAGTTTAATTTTCACTGAAATTTAAGTTTTGTGGGAAGGGAAAAACTTGTTTTTAAAATATGAACTGTCTGTGAAAAATTCGCTGGTTTTAATTTTTGTGTCAGTGGGCATGTAAGGTCATATGGATGACAATTGTCAAGTTCCTCCTGAAAATGATGGGACAAAAGTGTAAGTTCCCTTGGGTTTTATTGGTAGAAAACTAAATGTAAGTACACAATACAACAATGTAAGCTGTCTTAAACTTGCTTCTACTTGTGTGAACGGTGTAAAGCAGTGTAAATGTCTCAAGGCTTTCACATGCCACCTCTATTTCTGATGACTGCAGTGATTTCTCTTACTAGCTTCTCTTTTAATATTTCAGTATAATTGATCCCAGCCATTCTTTTTAAATGTTTCAATGTGCTAGTTCTTCTGCAAAATAAACCGCATATATTCATGTTTCATGGAGCAGCTGTCCAGTTTTCCATAACTCATGATAGTAATTGAAGGAGTTCTATTCTTTAGTCCTGCTTTATTTTTCTTTGTTAGCTTTCAGGTTTTTTTTTATGCCTACCTCTGTAGCGCATCACCAATTTACTTTGTAAAGTCCACACATAATGACCTTAGGACACTAAACTCATAGTTTGTTTTTTCATGTTGGGGGGAAAAACACGTATCTCTTGCTCTTTCAGGTCTAAATTCAGATTTTTCTGATCTTTATGCTAGGATTGGTAGTCTTGGGTGCCTCTCATTGTTTCTAAATTTTTCTGCATTTGGTTATGTGGAGTTTTGCTGATGTACTCAATAACACGTAAGATTCTGGTTATGCTAAATATGAATGTTTTCTCACATCAACTGGATTTATTGTGCTGGTTTTGGCTGGGATAGAGTTAATTTTCTTCATAGTAGCTAGTATGGGGCTATGTTTTGGATTTGTGCTGGAAACAGTGTTGATAATACAGGGATGTTTTAGTTGCTGCTGAGCAGTGCTTACACAGAGTCAAG